GGGGAATCATTCCATTCCCCTAGCCAGTGCTCTTGAAAAATTTGAAGTCACCGATAAATATTACTGGTGTCTAGTAATTGGTGTTTAGCTTGTCTGGGAGGCAGTGCTATTGCTAGAATTCACCCCAAGTGGCTTGGGGTGGAGGGAAAGGGGAATATTTGGCATGCACTTGGAAGCAGGTGTTGCTGCCGGAGGGCTTGCATGTGCTTTTGTGAGGAGGTGTTTGCAGGAAACCCAGGGCTTAGACGTCACAGGGCAGGGGAGGAATGCACTTGTCTTTGTTCTGCTGGCAGAAATGAGCACAGGGACCCGCATGAACTTGGCTCAGCCCAACCTGGACAGACTCCAAATCCAGCATGCTAAATGAGTTTGTAGTAGGCCAGCAGATATTGGGACACCTGGTCTACCTGAATGCTGGGATGAGGCCCACAAGGCAAAGCCTCTGCTCGTGGGTATGTCATCAAAGCAAGGGTCCCAGGAAGAGGTTGTCCACAGGGTCAGCACAAGAGGCCCTGTGGGAGAATGAAACTTGTCCCCAGGCCCCCGTGTCGGGTGTCAAGTCTGGGAAACAGACACTACGAGTGCAGCTGTGCCCCATGACTCTGGCCTATTGCAGGGAGACTGGGGGTGGGGTGGGGTGGGGGAGCTGTGAAAGCCTAGGAGGGGATCTTTCAGGAGCCTGGTTAAGAGCACAACAGTTCAGAAAGATGCTCAGGGGAGCACGGGAGTGGATGGAGGGCACTATTCTGGTCCTAAATTGGTCTGCTGCACAGACACAATTTTCAGGCGAGTCCAGAAGCTGTTTCCCCTGCCATTTCTCTGGTGCTCTGATAGCAACTTGGTTCACAAAGGGAAATGCTAGCTGGCCCCAAGGCCAAACATTGCCCGGTGTGGCAATGTGTGGTTGAGGGCGGGAACAGCAAGTGGTGTTCTGTTAGTGCCCACACAGCCTGCCCCTGCAAATGCCTGCATGTTGCATCTTCTATGCTATTTCTACCCCCATTTCCTGTTTTAAAGGAAATTGGAGACACCATGTCATATTTTAACTATGGAATTTCATATGCATCTAAAGAAGGACACTTTCTTGCACGATGACATGCCATTGTCACCGGTAACAAAATGATTGCTTCATTTCTGCTAGCTAGTCCATATTCCAATTCCCCTGATGAGGAATCCTTCCTGTTTTAAAACAAGAACAGTTGTAGAGTGTAAAGTGTCACTAGACACTTTAATGGGAGATTCCCTCTGCAGCCCCACTCCGCCCCCACCTGCTAATGTGGCAAGAGAGACTGCTTGAGGGCCCGGTGCGATAGTGTAGCAGCTAAGGTCCTCGCCTTGAACACGCAGGGATCCCATATGGGCACCAGTTCTAATCCTGGCAGCCCTGCTTCCCATCCAGCTCCCTGCCCGTAGCCTGGGAAAGCAGTCGAGGACGGCCCAAAGCTTTGGGACCCTGCACCCGCGTGGGAGACCTGGAGGAAGCTCCAGGCTCCTGGCATCGGATTGACTCAGCTCTAGCCGTTGTGGCTGCTTGGGGAGTGAACCACTGGATGGAAGATCTTCCTCTCTGTCTCTCCTCCTCTCTGTATATCTATCTGACTTTCCAATAAAAATAACTAAAGCTTAAAAAAAAAGAGAGAGAAGAGAGACTCTTTGATACATATTCCCTCCTCCCCCTGGCCATCCTGCCCCACCTGCTAATGTGGCAAGAGAGACCCCTTGATAGAGAAGCACAGATCACTGGCCTCGGGTCTTTGTTGTACCTGCTCTTCTATCTCCAATGCTTGCAATCCAGGAGACTCATATATATACAACCCCCTGACTCTGAGGTTTCCGTATGCATCCTTCTCTGGTCCAAGAAATGTATTCCAGTAAGCTACTGACATTCACATTTAAGCACGATTTTACAATGTGAAAACTGCCCTTTCTGGAGTTGGTGTGGTGGCGCAGCCAGTTTAAGCCACCACCCGTGATGCCAACATTCCATATTAGCTCCTGGGCAAGTCTCAGTTGTCCACTAAACAATCCAGCTCTCTGCTAACATTCCCAGAAAAGCACTTGAAAATGGTCCAAGGGCTTGAGCCTCTAACACTTCGCTGGGAGACCTGGACAGCGGTGTAGGCTTCTGGCTTTGGCCCCATCAAGCCCCAGCCATTATGGATGGCCATTTGAGGGGGTCAATCAAAAAATGGAAGACCTCTCTATCTTTCCTTCTCAATTTGCTGTTTTTGCCTTTAAAATAAATAAATGTCTCTTAGAAGTAAACAATTGCCTTTCCTGTGTATTTTCTATAGATGTCTCTTCTGGCTGAGTGTGAAGGTGGTGACAGGGGAAAGGATCCATTTATGGGGGTCCTGAGGGACCCTTAGTTAGAGGGAGACAAGGAGCAGAGCAGGGAAATGGCCATAGACACAGAGAAGCCAGGGTCAGGATCTTTCCTGCAATACAAGAAAAACAAAAAAGCAAACAAGGAAAATAACTAAAAGAACACAATTGTCTTCAAAGAGGGAGGGAGCAAAGAACCATATTTTCTTAATATCCGGACTGAACCCTAATGTTAACCTTTTGGTCTCAACCTTTCTTTATTGTTTTTACATGGAAAGAGAGAGGGAATGAGAAAGAAAAAAAGAGAATAATCTTCCATCTACTGGTTCATTCCCCAAATGGCCATGATGGCTGGAACTGGGCCAATCAGAGCCAGGAGACATGAGCCAGAAACTTTCTTCAGGCTTCCCACGTGAATTCAGGGACTCAAACACTTGGGTCATCCTCTGCTGTTTTCCCAGGCACTTCAGCAGGGAGCTGGATCAGAAATGGGGAAGCTGGGATCTGAACTGCACCCTTATGGGGTGCTGGCACTACAAAGGTCCACTCAATACACCATAGTACTGGTGCCCTGATCTCTACTTTCAAAATGCATATATAATCCAATAAAATTTGAATTCTACACCACATCTTGCATACTCTGTTTTAGTTTCAATCTCTTTGCGTGCTATATTAGGAACATTTTCATGTCATTAAATATATTTCCAAAACAAGATTTTCCAGACAGTGGCATAATATCCTAACTTATGGGTACATCTTCTACTTAACACTTCATAACTATTATTTTTAAAAGTTCTACTCTGAACAACCTTACACCCTAAATCTACGAACCTAACTTTGATGATCTCTGAGTCTGAACAGAACTATAGAAAGATCAGAACGTGTTTCAAACTACTTTCCAGAAAGTCTGTGCCAGTTAACACTGAAAAGCTGTAAACCCATTTCCCCATCACCTTGCCAATACTAGCACCCTCAATTTCCCCTTTGTCCCAACGAGCTGAAATTTGATTGCAGCATCATTGTCCTTACTCTGCTTGTGTTCATGTCCCCTTACTCTTTAACTAGTCCATCAAAAAACAGGTAGGTCGTAATATTGGGCAGTAGGGGCAGCCGAGGTCTCTGGCCTTGTCAAATGCATTTGGTCTAACTCCATGGAGCAGCTGCTTGTTGGCTTCCGCTGGAGACACGGACCCAGTGACTGCACATCTTAAATCTTTTAGAGAAAGCTAGAAACTGGGATACTTGCATGAAATATTAAAAATTTCAAGTGCTTACTGTAACAAACAAATGGGCACAATAAATGCTTCATCTTTGAGGCTGTTGCGCTTCAGAGGAACAAGGTATTATGATTAAACACATAAAAAAAACACACTAAATGTTCTCTTTAGGTTTCTAATCAGTGAAGAATACGAAGAGCATTGGAGAACAAAGGGACTGCAATCTGTCCAGAATCTGGCGCTTGAGAAGTTCAATGGCCAAATGTGACAGCTCTTCAAACAACTAGTTGCTGAATGGGACAGTTCGTGACACCACACTCGCCCTCTCCCTGCCTCCTCCAATGTCCAGCAACCAAAAAAGTTCAGTGGCTGCAGAGAGAAGCATTCTAGAAGAGGACTGTCCAGATTCCTGCTTGCAGAGCTACATAAAATACTAATTTTGAAGCTGAAAGCACCAGTATATTATGCCCCATTCTACCAATCGTATCAGAAATAGTGGAATGTAACAAGTGACATTTTTTTTTTTTTTATAAATGGAATCCTATTTATCTACACGAGGAAGTGTGCTTCTGGCAGAAACCCTGCGATAAAATGATCAATATGGGAAAAGTTCATTTCCAAATTGAGGTGTGACCCAAGTTCAGGTTTTAAAATGTTGGCCTTTCAAAGAAAAAAAATTATGCAATTCATAATCACCCTTTCCCCAACACACTTGGGCTGTTGGTTCCCAGGGCAAATTCCCAGGGCAGGTGAGTGGTAGCTGCCAGCTCTGTGGAGGAGTGAAGGTGGGTGGGGAGGAGAAGCAGAGGGAAATGAAGACAGCTGCTGAGGGGTTAGGAGTACAGGTCCTGCTGGGAAACAAGTAGGCAAATGACTGCAAACATCACCAACACTGACAATCACACTTTTCCTCAAGACACAAGCTGACCTTTCAGTGACCAATAAGCCTTTTTTCCTCTTTCTGTGTCCTAGATAGAGCTTTATTTATAACAGGTCTGAAAATAGCATCTTCCTCAAAAGACAGCAGATGCTGATAAGGGAGGATTGAACTCTGGGCGAAGGTACTACGGGCACAAACGACAGAGTGACACCACTTGGGGACTAACAAAATATTCCACCAAACAAACACACACACATGGACCTGGTGTGATGGGTCAGTGGCTAAATCCTCGCCCTGCACATGCAGCGGAATCCCGTATGAGTGCCAATTTGTGTCCTGGCTGCTCCACTTCCCATCCAGCTCCCTGCTTGTGGCCTGGGAAAGCAGTGGAGGACAACCCAAAGCCTTGGGACCCTGCAGGCTCAACTCCAAGTGTTGTGGCCACTTGGAGAGCAAATCAGCAATTGAAGATTGTTCTCTTTATCTTTCCTTCTCTCTCTCTGTGTGTGATACTTGAGAAAAGACCAACTTAAGAAAAGTCTAAATAATCACAGGAAATATCAGCTTTCTCAAAATACCTGTGATCATGCTGGAGATAATCAACGGCAAAATGACAAGCTTCAGCATCCTCATCAGAATTTCTCCAGGAAAAGAAAAGTAGAATTTATCCAAAGTTGAGAGACTGCTGTATTCTCGAACCAAAACTCCGATGACAATGCCTAGGAAGCAAGAATAGAGTAGAGGGGAATATGGTTGAGTTGTCTTGCATACATTTGCACAAATATGAACGGCAAGAAAAGTTGCTCCTGAATCTACCAAATTTAACTTAAAACGAAAAAAGACCCCACATGTTGAAATGTAGTGAATAGAAAGTAGTTAAGTTTGTAAAACTTATTCTTCATGTTTAAAACTTGTTTTCTTCAGTTACCCAATCTAGTTAGCTTAGTCAATCCAAGTATGACTATTTTGTTTTTACATAACACTTTTCTTCTTCATCACACAGTTAAAAAAAAAAAAACCGCATACACACACACAATGGCGATGCACAGATATGAAATACAACAAATACTACAATTCACATTTTAGTATGTATCTAGAAATTCCATCTCAGGTATATTTCCTGTGCCCATTAGCAGACAAAACAGTTGAACCTCAAGAAGATGCAACGAGTAATAACCTTATATTTAGCTTAACCTTATTTCCCTTCATATTCCATTTTGTCATTGATTTCTTTCATGTAGACATGACTTAATGCATTTCTCCATTCTGAGTGCACAATTTTATACTTGATCTTGAAGTCAAAAGGCTATGGAGTGATATAAATGCACAATTTTAAGTCATTTTTGAAACAGCCATAGGCAGATGAAAGCAAAACAACTCCCTTAGTCCTGCTGAGTTCATGACTGTAAAACCTAGGAATAGAGACTCACAAATGCTTAAGAACCCCAAGGTTAAATCTATCTGAAGAGGCATGATGCACTCGCTCTGTGCTTTACCAATTAGCCCATTTAGGGGTTCTATAACAATCATGCCTAATGATGCTCCAAGGATCCTTTGTAATGCTCAGGGCTTCAAATACCAAGCAAACATTCTTTCTCATACGATTAGGCTGTTTCCAGAAAACCGGCTAGTATGCCAGAGAAAGCTTATATGTGAAAATGAAAATGTGTCTATTCCCAAGCCAGCTCAGGACTCCGTTGAGTGGCAAACAAAGCAAAACAAAGCAAAACAACACAACACTTTCTTGAGTCCCCCATCCAAGGGCTTCTATTATACAATGACTGACTCTACATCTAGTCATCACCACTCCAAATAAATGCAAGGATATTATTTTCTCATTTGGTTTTTAAAAACCCACAGGCTTCCTTGACAGCATGCATCCACCACAGGAGACAGTCACCTTGACTCTTTCACTTAAGGTGGCAGGGAGGATTCATCCATGACCTCAACAGTGAAACCTTCTCATCCCATTTTGCAGCATAAATTCCCGCAGCCTTTCCAATGCTGCTGCATAATTAGGAAGGAGAACCTGCTAGAGGGCACCAAGCTTCCCAATAGCAGAAAACCCTGCGTTTTGTTGAAAATTGCTGTTCTTCCATTGACACAGAGAAATAGAAAAGAGATATAAGATACTGCCGACCCCATGGAAACCTATTTGATGGCTCCTCAAAAAGTTGAGCACAGAATCACCTAATGCTCTATCTTCCATCCAGCTCACTGTCACTGTGCCTTGGAAAGCAGCAGAAGCCAGCCCAAGTGCTTGGGCCTGTGCATCCACACGGGAGACCTGGCTGGAGCTCCAGGCTCTTGGCATCAGCCTGGCACACATTCATCTACTGTGACTATTTGGAGAGTGAATCAGCGACTGGAAGATTGAAGGCAGACGTGTTCATGAACAGCTCCAAAGAAGATGATCAATTTAAAGAGGAGTTGTGATTACAGTTAGCGGTTTGTAGCCCGCAGGAGAGCTTAAGTTTTAATCACGGAGTACAAAAGCAAATCAAAGCAGAGCATCTGGATTCTTCTGAGAACATTCAGTATCTGAAAAGCCTTGTAGTCTCATTCCTAGAGGAGTAGGAAGAACTTCTACGGCATAAGGCTGGTCTGAGGGTTAAGTAAGGAAGGCAGAGGATTTAGCTCGGCCCCTAACTCTCAGGAAGGCTAAATGTTAGCCATGACTGAGTCACAATAGCAGAAGTAGAAAGAATGCGGCTTTCAGAATTAACCTATAATCTGAGTATGCAAAAACAAACAGGATAATGGCAGGAGGAGCCAAGAAGCTAGATTCTAGTTCCATTTCTACCACATCCTTAGCCACGTCATGAAACTGCTTCAAGTTTTAGTTGCTTTATCTAAGAGCTTCAACACAAGAATGACTCAAGAAACAAATGAGAAACGGTATGTAAGAACAGTGTGTGATTTAAACCAGGGTTGTGCGTTATCCTATTTCAGAATGCTTATCTATTACATGTTCCCATTCCCTTGAAGACTTTCTTACATTTCATATTTACCTTTTTAATATTTCAAACATTTTTACAGTTGACATCAAAGATGGCAGGGGGGAGAGCAGCCATGAAGGAAGCAGGTGTGGGCGGTGTGTGTGATGGTCCAGCTAGCTCCAACCAAGTGCAGTCACATCTGGGTATGTAAATGCACACATCTCTATGTGAATACCACATCTCTGGCAGACATTGTGCTCTTAGCACAATGATTACAAGCAAATAGAAGCTTCTCTCTGATGTTATTTCTTTCACCCCATGAAACAGCCACCAAGTCATCAGATTTTAAGAGTCCGGATCTTTCGGTGAAACAACCCAGTTTTGAAATGCTAACACAAGCTTGCTGATGATGGCTGAATTCTAGAAGTTAATGCTAAGTAGTTCTGCAAGCCAATTTCCTCCGTGGCTGTCACCTTTTTTTCTGGTTTTCCCACTGAAGACAGGGTAGGAACAGAAAAATGACCAGTGCTGTATTGAAAGCAAGTATTACAGCAACCAGGATACAATGGCAGCAAACACACGGAACCTCTTGTGATCTCAGAAGCAATCAGATCCATGCAAACTCAGCACCTTCCCATTAGCGCTCCACTGGGAGTGCATTGGGGTGAGGCCAAAAAGAGGGGCTCCTCATGCTGCCACTGAGAGCACCTATCCCAGCAGACAATCATGATCAACTATAGAAGGCGCTAGTCTACAGGAAGGCCAGTCCACAGTTGCTGGAGCACAGGACTGCCCTTGAAATGTCTACCAGGAGAGACTAAGAGATTAAGGGTCTGTTAAACTATGAAGTAAAGTACAAAGGTTAGGTATTTGTAGAGATCATGAGTAGCCTAAGAGCAGGTCTAGACTGGAGATAAGCCCGGCTGAGGATTAGAATCAGAAAAAGCAGACAGGGCTGAGACAGGCTGAGAGTCAGGGAGGTTATAAAGGCCATGTGAGCTTTGTGACGAGTGGAGAATTGAAGGCAAGAGAACAAGCAGAATCCCAGATCCACAGCCTGGGTCAGTGAAAGGTTCGTTGAGATAAAGAAGTCTGGGTGAGGAGAAGTATGAATCAGTTAACTCATCCTGCTTCTCAGAGAGACAAGGGGACAGAGCACAGCTGTTTGGATTATCCATCTCAGGCCCTGGCAGGCCTTGCCAGATTGTAACTGCTGCCTGGTACTCAACCCACCAGGTTTGAGCTAAGCTACAGGGAGCCAAGCAGTAAGGACTGAATTCAGCTGTCCCTCAGTTTACACAGGTGTCCTTGGGCACAATGACTAAGTGAAAGCTCTAAGACACACTCGAAGTCAGACCCCCCTGGCTCTGTTGCTCTGTTATAGGATTGGAGGTGACTTCCTCTGTCACTGTGGCAGTTTATGACTGAGGAACCAGGCCTAACCTCCTTGTAACAACATGGTTTCTTCAAGAATCCTGGCACTGAGGTCAACAGACTAGCTCAACTGGCTAATCCTCCTGCAAGTGCCAGCATCCCATTTGGGTGAAAGTTCATGTCTCAACTGCTCCACTTCCCATCCAGCTCCCTGCTTGTGGCCTGGGAAAGCAGTCTAGGATGGCCCAAAGCCTTGGGACCCTGCACTCACATGGGAGACCCGAAAGAATCTCCTAGTCCATTGGGACCATTTGGGGAGTGAACCAATAGATGGAATATCTGTGTCTTTCTTCCTCTCTGTGAATCTGTCTTTCCAAAATAAATAAATATATAAAAAGAAAAAGACCTGGAGCTGAGGCACTTCAACTAGCAATACTTCAGAGTCCCAGTTGTTCCACTTCCTCGCATCCTCATTAGAACTTGTCGTGGAATCTGAACTGTGGATTCAAGTGAAAATGAAGTTTACTTGGAAAAGTAGGATGGTTCCAACAGGAAATCTCACCTCTATAGCAGGCATGGAGAACATCTTTTGGGTCAAGGACCATACAAAATTACCAACTTGAAAACCCACCTGCTGTGGAATTATTGTTTTTCTAGCCTTGCCTCCAATTGCTTGCCTATGGTCAGACCAAATGACTTCATGGCCCTTATACACCTGTGGGCTGGATGTTCCCCCACCCACACTAGGGCAAGCATCCCACTTACTGGCTTGGAGATCCAGCTGGTGAGTGCATCTGTTAATCTAGGAACAGTCAGTCTCTCGCTGCCCCCACAGGGGTCATGTGTATCAGTTCCTTTAAGGGCAATCAGATTGTTTGCTGAGATAACTCAGCTATGACCTGGCTTGTAAGCTCCAAGAGTTCCCATTTCAACTCTCTTTATTCTACTTGACACCTCTTAAAAGGGTTCATGTCTGGGGCTGGTGCAATGGTTTAACTGACTAATCCCCTATCTGCAAGTACCAGCATCCCACATGGGCACCCATTCAAGTCCTGGCTGCTTTACTTCCTATCCAGCTCCTTGGTAGAGGCCTGGGAAGCAATAGCGAATGGATGGCCCAAAACCTTAGGCTCTACTCCTGCATGGAAGATCTGGTCAAGAAGCTCCTGGCTCCTGATTTTGGATTAACTCAGCTCTGGCCATAGTGATCACTTGGTTAGTGAACCAGTGGATGGAAGATCTTTCTGTTTCTCCTCTCTGGAAGTCTGCCTATCCAATAAAAACAAATATATTTATACATTTTGAGGGACTCATGTCTGACAATCTAGTGGCTTGTTTTCTGCACTCACGTGCAAAAATTTTATCTACCTATGATTCCATTCCACACACTCTCCCTGCCTTGGTTA